GCAGAAAGTACAAGACCTGGATAGAGTTGTTAGAGCCGACATAGTACTGATCAACGGTCTTGAGCCAACCAACATCATCGTGGGAATGAGGAACCACATGGACATTAAGTTTTCCAGGTACAATGCTATGTGAAGTATTGTAGACCATGTACCTTGATTCTACCCTTGAGACTCCCAGAATCAAAACAACCCAACAACACAGAAACTTCACAAGATCCATTCTCTCTACAAAACCCAGTTCTTCAAACTCGGACTGTGTTTAAGTCAACTCAAGTAGAGAGTGAGTGACGATGAAGAAGAAAAGATTTAACCTTTTATCAAGAAACCCTCAAAATCTAAACTTTTATTTCCGAAAATCTTGTCCTTTTTTCTTCTTTAATAATTCATTGCTTACTTTAATATAAGTGGTCCTTATCCATAGATAAACCTTAGAAGTGAGGTTTACGCTCCAACATACACATCATTCATAAATCAGACAAAATCCAAAAAGAAAAATCGTCATRATTCAGTAGCCTGCATCTTCTTATGATTAAATATATTGCAACGCGTGGAGAAGGCGAGAAGCTCGAGACTAATGGGCCAAATCTAGCAAAAAAGCCCAATTATAACTTCAATCTAGGCCCATTAATAAGGAATCCTGAAAGTGTCGGTTGTGTTTGGCTACAAGTGCAAATATATCCCAACACAGAGTAAAATCCCCCAGTTTTGTTTCTCCGATTTTCCAATCGTCGTTCCCAAAATTCGAAAGCAATGGAGGAAAGTTTGAGAGTGAGAATCGACAAGATATTTGGATCTCTTTCATCTTCATCGTCTTCTTCACCATCTCCGAGCTCTCTCTGGTGTCTTGCGGAAGACGAAATCGATGGAAACGAAAGGAGCGGAGAAGAGGAGGTTCCGGAACCCCAATTTGATCCGAATAGCTTTCCGGATATCAAGGAGGATGATCTAGAAGATTTGAGCGTCGATGAGGAAGAAGGACAGTCTAGTGTATCGCAGAAGCCGGAAGATTACAACGACGAGGAATGGGAGATCAAAAACTCAATCGGGATGGATTCTACTCTTGATATGGAGGTAATCATCAATCCATCTATATATCTTTTGTTGTTGAATTTGCGCTGGTAGATGTTTTCAGTATCACTGAGCTATTTGTGTGTGTTTCAGGAAGAGGAAGATGAAAATGATAAAGTAGCTGTAGCTGAAGAATTGTACGGTTACACGAACGATGTGAATGATTATGAGACTGAAGCAGACGAGTGGGAGGAGCTTCCAGTTTCCTTGAAAGAAAGAGAGAAGGATCCGCGTGCTAATCTCATCGCAGCTAAGCTTAGGCTTAAAGAAGATGCTGAAGCTGTTAACAAGTTGAATTCCTTGCATGTCTCTGAGGTACTTTTTACTCTTTCTCTGTTTTTATGTCTGATTCTTTAACAATTCTCTTCCATAAGTTGCTTAGAATCTCAACTCTGCGATAACATGCTACTGATAGTTAGTCGCTGTCTTGTGTTAAGGTATGTTTCTGAAACCAAAATTGTCCATCTAAGAAAAGATGAACTCTTTTGCAGGTGCATGAGGGTAACCTGTCCATGTCTACATCTGAAAACGGGAAGGCTATGGTGGTGTCTGAGGATAACAAATCTCAGGAGGCACATGTTGGCTTTTCAGATGATAGTGAGCTGAAACCGATATTGAAGAGGAAAGAAAACTCAGCTGATTCTAAGTTGCAGAAGCGTGTTCGGTTTAGTTCTGATATCGGAGATGACAGCAGGAGTGGTGGCGACAAAGATTCTGTGATGGAGACAAGTTCCCCCGACGAGCATATAGTAGTGCAGCCAGACTATCCGAGTGGGATTCCAGATTATATGCGAAACCCAACAAAGTACACCCGATATGCATTCGATTCAGGTGAGGTTGATGAAGAATCCAACCGGAAAGCGTACATGGACTTTCTCAACATGATTAAAAGGCGAGATGAGCCTCTTGTAGACCCTATGGTTGAGCTTCCAAAATCAGTGGCTTTTGTACCTAAGAAGAAACCAACAGCTGAAAGCAAAGCAGAAAACGTAGAGAAGACTTGTGAGGGGAGAAGAGGTGCAATAGCTGCCATAGAAGACAGCACAGTTTCTGCGATGGAAGAAGATGAACCAGAGGCAGCTCTAAATGTCATGAGAAAACCTGGCCGTCAGTATCGAACCAGAGCCACGGAAGATCAAGAGGAATGTTGAAGATCATCAAACTTGCTGCATTTTCTTTTTTGCATTACTTGGATTTGGCATTTGGGTACTCTTGGCGGACTTAGAAATAAAATCTAATAGAACATTCGTAATGATACTTGCGATATGATAACTTGGTATAAATACGAGCACAGTCGCTTAGTCCCTGCATAAGATGCTAAAAACTCCACTAGATACTTATATTGTTGATGCGGCAAATTAGATGCCAAGGGTTCATTGTTAGCTGCATAAGATGCTAAAGACCCTCAATAACCTTGTCAAGGGGTTTCTACTTGGGAAATTGTTGCTATGTGCTCCCCAAAAAATATTTTACCAATACCCTTACTGATTCTCCTAGTCCAAAATATACTACGAATTGAGCATTTACTGATCCTCCTACTCCAAGTTAGTAGAGGCGTTTTCTACAACCTAATGCTCCACAGTAGCAAGCAAGTTGTTTCACCTTCCCATCCGGCCCATGAACACTATCAAGCACATAACCGTAGTCGTAAGTCAGCTCCTGCAATTGAGACAAAGATATGTATAAATTTTTATTTTATAAAGAGAATGTCCCCCCCCCCCCCCCACAGAGATGAGTTTCTCAGTACCTGCAGTGGTGGGATGTTGTCAGCTGCAAAAATAACCACACGGGCTTGCCTTGGATCCTGGTGAGAACTCAGGACGCTCTGGACAAACAGGTTTGGTTCACAACTGTGGTTTATGAACCTAGCAACGTTCCCTTTTGTACCAGCATCGATGCAGAACTCTGGT